TATATCAAATTAATCCAAATCTGGGTTGTTGATTTGATGGCATCTATGGCATTTATTCAGTTAATTAAATAGAAGAAGAAGAAAAATTGATGCTAAAAGGAAATGTAAATTTGCCATAATATCATCCAGGTATCCTCCAAGAGTCACTGTGGACAGTAATTCCAATAGCAGTCAGTATTGCAGAGGCCTTGAGGAGTCCTCTGACTGGTGATTTTTGCATGACTGTCACAACATGTTCACGGCTCAATTTCCAGGTGACAGAGATGATATTCCACAGTGAAATGTCCTGAATGGCACCATCGTTTGTTGGCACGCTCTGCTCTTTTCAACTCCTCTGGGATTTGGGGCCATAGTTCAAGTATTATTTAGGCTCTTGAATTGCTAATCGGCCGCTCCCATTTGTATAAACAAACCTTGTTTATATTTACAAACCTTGTTGCCACAGTAACACAACAGTCCGAAAGTAAAAGAGTAGAACAAAAATCCCTCAAACTGCACAACGTCTACAAGGAGTCCAAAAAACGCATGGCTGGAACCCAAACGGCTGTGAAACTGTCAGAAACGAAATTCTCTTTAGCCGCGTAGAGTGCTACAATCACAGAATAAAAAAATATTACATTATTTTAACTAGCTGTATATTGGTGTACAAAATTCAACATTGCAAATATATTTTGGTAGTAGCACAAAATAATCAAATCAAATTTCCACTACTGGTATCAGGCAGTACATTGTTTTATTCAATTTTAAAACAAACCTTAATATTTGCTACCATTAGTTTCTGCTTCTCAGTTAAATATTGTAGTCAAGGTGACTTAAACAGGACTGAGAACTCTAGAAGTTGAGAATGTAAATGTATGGAGTTTTGTGTGTAGGAACCCAGCTAGTAGAAAATCTTTTCACTAACTAACGAGTCAAGCAAAGTGGAACACTTTAAGTGAATCAAGAAGAGCAGAAAGACTGTAATGAAGACCTTCCATCACTTTGTGTGGTCTTTACATAAATGTTGTGTTTGCAACCTGAAAGCTAACCTTTAACCTTTCTTCTCGTTTGCACCAGGACATCCGCAACCAAGCCATTGAATATCCGTACAAAGTAGCTAAGCTTCCAATGAACAGGAATTTGAATCGCTACAGAGACGTCAGCCCATGTGAGTCTTTGCACGAGAGATTTGTTTGTTTTTCTTTCCAATATGGTGGCTGAGAATTTGCATTGTTGTAATTGCTTCGCCATCTGATGTTTTTTTTTTTTTTTTTTTCCTCCTCAGATGATCACAGTCGGGTAAAGCTTGAAAACGCTGACAATGACTACATTAACGCGAGTTTAGTCGCTGTGAAAGAAGCCGAGAGAGCTTACATTCTAACTCAGGTATGGAAGCCATTGAGCGAATGCTACTGTATTGTACACTGTTCTACTCGGTATGTCACACTTTCATGAACATTTTTTATTTTTTTTACTTTGACAGGGCCCTTTGAGGAATACGTGTGGCCATTTCTGGTTGATGGTCTGGGAGCAATGTTCTAAAGCCGTTATAATGCTCAACAGAGTGATAGAGAAAGGATCTGTGAGTAACACCTCAGCACATGATGACCACAAGTTTTTATATACAAGGACTGTGTTTGGAAATGTCTGTCTTTATTACTTAATACATACCAAATTATTTATACCTCTGCCTGAGATTTAATATATAGAGATGAGGATTTATTTAATTTTAATACAACGGTGTAAAAGAAGGATCGAGTTTGAAACAATAAAGTTATCATTTTAACTGCATTTTTGCATGTTTGGGATGTTTCAAAAAGTCAGGTCACTTCTATGCGTCATTACCTCCAGTCAGAAAGACGATGTTAGTCAAATGAAATGACAACTATATATTTAATCTGCTACAGATATGAGTAATTCTGGGCTTAGCCACATATGTAGCATTCTCTGCTGTTTAACTGAGGAAAGGAAAAACTTTGTAAGCTGTACATGTGGGAGAGAGAAGCATTTCTATGTTTTCTGTATGGAACTGTGCTCCAGCTTTTGGTTCTGAGGTTTTATGTTTCAGGACATAAAATTTGAAAAAATATCTGACCTATTGTTAGAATTTTAAATATTAAGAAATATTAACCCGAAAGAACAACAACGCATGAAATACAACAGTACAATTGTATGTTGCTGTTTATTCTACAGTAACCAAACCAAACTGCATGAAAAACGTGATTATGATTCAGTAGTTTCTACAACCTGAATTTTAAGAGTCAGGATGTTGTTTAGAATTGAATAAAATGAAGACTTTTAAATCACACAAGCCAACATTTTATTAACAGAACATGGGGAGCAGAGCAAATGTCTGGAAAAGCAGAAATGTGTGAAAGCGTTCACCTGGTTGAAATTAAGTTAACTTACTTCAGATCTGCAGCATGATTAGCTATAAGAGAGAGTTTGGAGTGTGTGTGGAGTTTCAGATGTAACGATGGGCATGCTGTCTCATTTGGGACAGAATGCATAAAATATTGTGGAACATTTTACGAACAACAATCTCATTATCTAAAGTGCATACGATTATCAGAAGATTCAGAGAAACTGGAGAAACCTGTCTGTAAGAGACCTTTATTAGACGCCCATAGACTTTGGGCCCTCAGACAAAACTGCGTCACTCGTCAGCATGATTTTGTCATTGACATTTCTAAATGGACCCAGGAATACTTCCAGAAACCACTGTCGGTAAACATAATCTAATGTACAATCTGCAGATTCCACCTAATCGTCTGTCATGAAATATGTGAACAGGATCTAGATCTACCGTGGGATCCTGTGGGCCACAATGAATTTAAAAAGGACTGTTTCACAGTGACAGTGCTCCATGTTCCGATGAATCCAGATTTGACATTCTTGTTGGCGACTTTGGAAACCATGAGCAGCTTGCATGTTTTGGAAGGAACTATGAACCCTGGAAGGTATCTAGAGGTTTTAGAGCAACCTCATCCAGAAAACGTTTATTTCTGGGAAGACCTCGTGTATTTCAGCAGGACAATGCCAAACCACATACTGGAGCCATAACAACAGCATTGGCTTCGTCGGAAAAGAGTATTGCTGAATTGGTCCTGCAGTCCAGATCCTTCACCTAAGGAGAACATTTGGTTCATCATTAAACAAAAAAATATGTCAAAGAAGACCATAAACTCTTAGCTGCTGGAAACCTGCATCAGTCAAGAATGGAACCAAATTCCAAGACTCCAGAAACTCATGACCTCAATGCCCAGACGTCTTCAAACTGTTGAAAAGAAGAGAAGATGCTTCACTGTGGCAAACATTTCCCCATCCAAACTGTTCTGAAACATGTAGCAAGTTCAAACCTGAGCTTAATTTGGTTGAAGTTCAACATCCGTTATGCTAGGATCAGTGTTCTGTTGTGAATAAAATATCAGCTCATGTGATTTAAGAGTTTTTTTTTTTTCCTTTTATGACCTCCTGTCTTTTCTAGAATTCAGGTTGTTGATCTGCCTACAGCAGCAAGAATATGATGTTATCATCAACTCTTTGGTCTTATTACTTTTCCACTATGCAGAAATGCTGGTTTATTCTTCTTTTGTGTTTTAGTTTATTATGCCTTTCAGTTTTTTTTTTTTAAACACAGCTCTCTGAGAGTCCACTAGAGCCTCTGAATCAGGTTGAGGTTTGGACATTGTCTAGGTCTCGTCCACATCCCGACCCTTTTGTCAGTTGTACCTTTCTGCTCACGACCAACATTCAGCCACACCTCAGCTGGCAGACAGACGGCCTCACGTTTGACTCAAGAGAAATGGAGGAGGTCATGGTTGGAGCTGCTGCAGGCCCATGGTCCTGCAGCTGTAAAACGAGCCCAAACCTTTGTGTGTTGTTCAAATTCAGTTCTCCAGACCTTTCCCCTCCCAACCCATTCAAACAAGCCATACTGGTTCTTAGCAGCCACTCTGTCATAAACTTTAACATAGTGAAGTCTGAAGAGTGTTTTTTCTTTGAGCAATGGATGACTGACCTTCACAGGGAGGAACTTGCTAAAGGGTCCATTCCTGTAAAAATGGGCAACCGTTTTTCTTTTTCTTTTTTTTTCTTGTAAAGTGACTAACTTACAAAAACATTGGAAATGGCTTTGTTAGCTCTTCTGAAAATGATGGATACAGCCACAACTGCTTCCCTAATGTCATGGCTATGGGTTAGCTCCAGGGTAACACCCAGATAAAAGCTGAAGAACAGAAAGCTAGAGATGTGTGCACATCCTACGCATCAGGTAATCGCTGCATTTGATCTGCAGCTACTTACAATCTGAGTCTCTTTCTACGAAGCTAGGCTGCTCTCGGTTTCTTCACATGGTGCTTCTGTATTACAGCTTAGCCCTTCTGAAACAATGCAATATGTCATATATTTTAAGACTTTAAGCTCTTATGTTTTGTGTTCTTTTTTTTTTAAATTTATTTTACCAGGACTGCTCAGAGCTTGTACTTACAGTGTTTGTGCAGCTAAGTACTTTCTGACGTGTATCCTGGCACATTATAAGCACAAACAGCTGTTAAATACAGAAAATGCGGACTAGAAATAATTGCTGTCTGCCATCATGTGGCGCCCCTTCTAATGGGGCACCCACTTTTTGCACCACTGCTGTTTGGAGTTTGGAGAATGACTAACTTTAGGCCCTAACTTTAGGTGCATTCAAGACAGACTGTGAGTCTGTCTTGAATGCTGCTTAGGTCACACATACTCATCTGTCTATGAAAACGCTGCAAGCTGCTTCCTGTTCGAGCCTGAGTGATGACCTCTCTGTCCCCGCAGGAAAAGTGTGCTCAGTACTGGCCCACTTCAGAGGAGCTGCAGATGTCCTTCACTGACACGGGTTTTGTTGTTCGACTGTTGTCAGAAGAGGACCAATCCCATTATACAATCAGGGTGCTAGAACTAGAGAACACAAAGGTGAGCATGAGACGAAACATTGGAAGCAATAATCTGAAATTTGTGCTCTGCTTTGAGTTTTTTTAGTTTTCTGGAGGACTCTGGTGTCTCAGTGAGCCTTTTCTCAATGGCAACCGATTTTTATTTATTCTTTCTCTCTCTCTTTCTCATATATATGGAGCCGAGCTGAGTCTAGCCAATCTTAGAATAGAATAGAAACAGCCTGAAATTCAGGTGCAACATCAGCATCAGAATGAGTCACTAAAATAGTTCCAAATGTTCAAAAATATATGAATACAAGACTAACAACAATAATTAGAAAATAGAAATATTGTACTCGTGATCCAATGGATGTGCAACTCAATAGGATTACTTTTTTTTGTTGCTTTTTTTTATTTACATAATGAACATTAAAAAAGACAGAATATAAATACTATTTTAATGAGTAAATGAATGTGCAATTTCCAGTAGGTGTGTAAACACTTATTGACTGACGAGGTATAGACCGGTACAGGGAGCTGGAGCAGCCAAAATACTTCAGAAATCACAAAATACCTTTTCCTGCTTGCTGATAAGAAATATTTTTGTGAAATTCCGTGTTTTGTTGTGGATTCCACTTAGTTTGTCAAATTCTGTCTGCATTTTCCACGTCACATAAATCCTAGTAGGGCCCTACAAAAACAAGGTCAAAGTTCAAAAGAGGAAGATCCTGCAGCATGCTTAAATGGTTTAGATGCAACCTGCAGCTCCAGGGGCCACAAGTGGCTCTTTGGGTTTCCCACATTGGTTCTTAATAACTTTGACAAAAATGATAAAGAACAATCTGATATTTTAAATGTAGTTATTATGCAGGTTTCAGCAGACTAATGGTTTTTTCATGTTGGAATTGCATTGAATTCCCACAACAGAATGACCCTTAAAGTACCAGTAATATTATTTTCTTATTGGTAACTATGAATACCAACAAGAAACGGTTGGAAACTGTCCACTTTCTTTGCTTTATTTTCCACAGAAGAAAATGCGTCCACTCTCTTTTGAGCAACAATGTTATGTTTTTCTTCTTTAAAATTTCCTATAGTTGATATTTTCATTCAGCTCGACAGAGGGTAGAAATGGCTGTTTGGAACGGATTGTAAAGGTTGAAGACCCCTGGGCTAATGTGTTGCTAAAATTGTATTTCCCCTAAATTCCTCTGTTTAACTTCATACCAGGTGGTTTTAAATCAGTCTACCTGGGTCCTTGTTTTTATTTTTGTCTGGCATTTCTGGTTTGAGCCAGAAGTGCCAGAACTTGTATGTGCTGCACATTGTTCATGGCTGATGTCATACGTTTCTTCCCAGACGGGGGAATCCAGAGAGATCTACCACTTTCACTACACCACGTGGCCTGATTTCGGGGTGCCAGAATCTCCCGCCTCTTTCCTCAACTTCCTCTTCAAGGTGCGGGAGTCTGGTTCCCTGGGGCCTGAATATGGGCCCTCAGTGGTGCACTGCAGCGCTGGGATTGGACGCTCGGGAACGTTTGCCTTGGTGGACACTTGCCTGGTCTTGGTGAGAGAGTGTTATTGTTATGGGAAGTAGTTGCTTAACGCTGATTATACTGAGAGCAAAGGGTTAAACCGTTTAGTTTGGCATCTGAGTACGATGAGTCAGTCATCTTAAGGTAATATTTGAGAGGGCTGGAAGCTAGAGAGAGAAGTTGTAGCATGTTGGTTCTGAACTTTATTCACGGTATGTTTGGATTGTTACTTCAGGCAGAAAACAGTGATGTCAGAGATTACCTGGAAACTCCTTCCCACTTTCAGGAATTCTTCTGTTTTCAGATTCATTCAGCACCATGAGCTTTGTGCATTTTTTTTGTCTGAAAAATAAACTTATGTTGAATTGTTTTTAGTTCTTTTTTCAATAGCTTAGTATCTTTAGAAAGGGTTCAAGAAAGTTTTCTTCTGTTCTAAAACCTGTAAGAAAATGACAGCAGAATATATCTTCCCTCTTATTTTTTACAAGTGATGTATAAATCAGAGCCTATTAACCTACCAGCTCCAAGGTTAATAGCTGAAATATATTTGGTTTGTTACACAGAAGCTACAGAAGGGAACTTTATCAAGCTCCCCTAAAAACATGTCCAATTTAGAGACGTATCAAGAAATTGGTCGGTGAGCACGGGCGACCAAATTTTAACTGGTGAGAGACGAGTTGGAAACTCAGTAATCGGATCTTTTCTCAATCCCTGAACATGTCATGCAAAGCACTGCCTGGTCACTGTTAAGACAACACTCTGCTGTGTGGATGCTGCTGCTGAGAAAAGATTCAAAGATGACTATTTGAATATCTGTGAGGTGTTTACAATACATAAATCTCCAGTAACATTTGGTAGGATAAAGAAATATATATATAGTTTCCTTTTAAGCATTTAATCTGGTTAGGATGGAAACACCATGATTTGGGAAATGTAGGCAGTGTTTTGGAAAATTCAAAATTATAGTATGAGTTTACATTCTGTTACAGATACATCTAAAAACAGTCACTTTAGCCATGTTAACATTGCTAATGGTGCTTATCACAAGTAGAAGCTGCTTAAACAACAACACAACAGTGAAGCTTAAAATATCTACTCAATAAGTATTTTATCTTGCGTTACAATTGAAAAAGCCTGTTTTACGACAGCTGCTCTTTCTCACACACACAGTGTGACATCTCCTTTGATCCCATAATGTTTACCTAATGGCCACTAATGATAGGAACTTTTAAATTTGAAATCAGTAGATTGAAGCTTTAAAAAAAACATTTAAGTGATTCCCAAACTTTCTAGCTTCTGACTCACAAAATAATAATACAAGCGACTCTTGACCGCGACTCTTGGTTGAGCATATCTATGTTCCAGATCTACGCTTGTTCTGAAACACAATTTATTTTAGCATAGAACAATCCTCTATTTGTCCCTCAGTAGTAAAAACAATGAACAGCACATTGACTAACAAATGGAAGCACACACGAAAGACAAGATGCTGTAATAAATTAAAAATAATTGCACAACTGACTCACAGGTATACACTGTGAGCCACCAAGGCGGTGACCTCATGGTAACATGCTGTTAAGCAGTCTGGTGCACCTCAGTGTGGAGTGAAAACACTGGCTTAGCTGCATAACCCTTTCCAAATGTATTCCATAAACAGATAAATCTGTTTTGTAGATGGACAGGAGTAGGAGCTCGTCATCTGTGGACATACAGAAGGTGCTGCTGGATATGAGGGAATATCGCATGGGCCTGATCCAGACCCCTGACCAACTGCGCTTCTCCTACATGTCCATCATCGAGGGAGCCAAGCTCATTCTGACCTATAGCTCTGCAGAACAGGTTTGATCAGGAGCGAACCAGAAACGCATGAGAAATATACTTGTTTTATAGTCATAAAAAATGTCCAGTGAGCATTATATGAATTGCTATAAATTCCCTAGTATTACTGGTTTTTTTCAATTTTGTTTAATGCTGAACTTAATGTTTTACATCAGGCACCTTGTCGGGCAGCATTTATCAATGCTATTCTTTTGCATTGATAAAAGTCTGTGTCTATGATAAAGGGTGTTTTAGTGATTTGTTAGTGACTGTTAATTATTGCTTTGATATGTAAATGAGTTGCTGTGTTTGGCTTCTAGATGATGTTACTTTGTAATTTGTTTTTAATGTTTTTAGTTTCTGCTCTAATATGAGCAGCGGTTACCTTGGTAATACTAGTAGCTTTTGTTTGATGTTAACAGACTAGCCTTCCAACTGTTGTTTTTCAGTTGAAGCTAAGTTTAGGTTAGCATTAGCTTATAAATCCCCTTTGAATTTATATTGTTTATTTGAATCCCTGGCAAGCAGAAAAGAGAGAAACACAGTTCATACTAATAGGCAGCCTTAGAACAGACTGTTGAGACAAACTGTACCGAAAGTGGACTGTGCTTCAGTGTAAAGTCAAGGTAGTTGTACTCGCTTTGTGGATGAGGTGATCCAGCAAATCCTCCCAAGGTAACATGCAGTCCTACCTCTCTGCAATATGACATAACAATATAACATGTAAAAGGATCTATGTCCTCAATGTCCATGGCATTTTTGTAACCAATAATCTTCTTATTACTTCAGAAAATACGATGTTTTCAAAAAATGCTCCAACCAAAAGACAAACCAATAACTGAACATGTAGATAGACTTGAACCATCATAAAATTTGAGTGGGTTCCAAGTTTAGAAGGTCTTGCCTGGCTTCCTGCCTGTTTCCTCCATGCTTCTATTTGCCCATGCATGTGTTTCTTGATCTCTGCTGCAGAACTCACAGATTGGCCTGTTCAGAGAAGACCTGGAGTCGGATCTACAACCTCCAACGCCTCCGCCCAGACCTCACCTCAATGCCAGCAGGCCCAACGGCCCTTGCTTGGAGCCACAGCCCAGCACAGGGGACCACCTCTCATCGAGGGATTCAGACTGCCACAACATGGCAGAGAACTCTGTGCAGTAAGTGATAGTTCAGCACGTTTGGAATGAGTGTCCTCACACAGATAAACATCACCAGAGTTGCACCGATCAAGCATTTGTGAACAGTTTTTGATAGAAAATGTAGCATTAAGTTTTAAAAGCTTTTGGCTAACTACTTCTAACTGTTAAACTAAAAAATAAATCAACTAAAATAACATATTTTCTTTCTTTCTTTCTAGAGAATTTAATTAGTTATTTTCATCTAGAAGAGAGGCTTTGTGTCAGTGTGTGAGAGAGACAGTGCTGTAAACAGTTTTTCAAACTGAAACAAAAACAAAGTGATTTGAAATTTTAACTATTTTTAGCATCATATATTAGTGATTAGCACCATAACTGCAGTCAGGATTAACTAACCGAAGACATCTTCAGTCTCTCGGTGTTCCCTGGAGAACGTGGACCAGGGCTGTCAACATTCTTAAATCCAACACGTTCCATGACAGGAAGGGCTGGGAAAGTCTAAGATGATAAATCAGAGCAGCTTAGCTCTAATATTTTGAGCCCTACTGAACTCAGTGCCCTGTCATTTCACTCTGTTGCCACTTCAATGAAAGTTCCTGAAGCCAGCAACTAATTGGTGAGTGGTGGCAGACGGAGCTGGGACCGGCTCAGCTCTGGCTCTTTGAAGGAGCAGCTCAGGCTGCCTTCTCAGGCCTGGAAATGTATGGAATTTGACTTAGTTATTTTTTTCAAGTCTGAATAGGACTGGAGTAAAACATAAGGCATTATTCTTTATTAAAACGTTATTAGACACTCGTAGGAGCTTGGGACTGGTCCTGTTGTCATTTCAATGGTTTTGATTTTTAGAAATTAAACAAAACAGTCAGTTTTCTTTGTTTACAAACCTTAGACGGTACGTACGGTGCATTCACCAACCAGATCCTCAAGTTTCTGACCAGCAGGTCATCGGTTAAGGCCACTCCAAGGAGGGATGCACCGATATAAAAAATTGGGCAGATAGTAATACTGCTGTGATTGCTGATCCCTCACACTAAACTGTATTGCATGTAGGTTCCCTACCCTTTTGACACTGTAAAAATGGTCACATCCTAATGATGTGCTTTAAACAACCACACAACCTGTTCTGCATGACTATCACTGTCACATGACTGAACAGAAAACACATGACCAACTTTCTCCTCTTCCTAAAACAAATAACAAATAGATGGAAATAAATATTAGTCATCAATCCATTTTTAGGCCAATAGTGACTTGGGCCTGACAAGATAGCATTTGATTTATGATAAATTATCCCAGTAATTATTGCTATAATTTACTAATATTTGACATAATAAATGCAAGTTCGTCCTCTCAAAGATCAATAAAATTGTAATTTTGTAACAAACCCTTAACACTGGAACTGAAAGATACTTTAAATATTCTAAATAAATAAACCAAAAACAATAAATGAAACTGAAATACAAAGCTCACACAACAAAAACCATAAATAAAATGGATTATGATCTCTGTAAACAAAATTTCCCTCCAAACAATATTAATAATCATAAAAGAAATAATTGAGCTCATTTTATTTTATCATGCTGTTAATTGATTTGTTAAAAAATAACTCGCATCTGCTGATTCTGATTTGGATGCCGACGTATCGTGAATTCCTAACTCAAACTGAAAAGTTAACCAAATTCCACCGTGGTGAAATTTCCAATTGATCACGCCGACCTTTATTCTTGTTCTCTACTTTTTTTTCATACAGCATTTGTCGTTCATGAACTGCTCACATGTCCTCACTGCTCAAATGTCTCCTGTGTGCTAGGTTGAGGAAGAGGCACCGTGAGGAGAGGATCGCTGGCACAGCACAGAAGGTCCAGCAGATGAAACAAAAACTTACTGAATCAGAGAAGAAGCAGGAGAAGTGGCAGTACTGGAGGCCCGTCCTTCTCAGCGTGGGTTCTGGAGCTGCCCTGGCTGTCACCGTTTTGTGTTGGATGTACTTCCAGTAAAATAACTCTGGCTCCCCCTCAAGAAACTGACTCCTATTTTGCACCGGTACCTTGGATTAGGTACTTCTTTAAGTAGACGTAGATGGTAACATGTGCATAACTGAGGGTATTTATTAAGGTCAAAATGCAAGAGCACTAGATCAAGCGAGTGTGTGTATATTTTTTTTTTTTAAGATCTTAACAGAAATAGTAACATCTCAGGATCTTTGTGCCAGCACGGTGATTTATTTTTTCTTCTTCTTTCCTCTTGTTGTCACTGTTCAAGAATGTACTGTGTCATAGAAACATGGCTTTGAATGGAACTTACTAAAGGTGCAGTACATAGAAAAAAAAAATCTGACAAGTTTATTTTTGCATTCTTTGTTTGTAATGATCAAATGTGTGTTTATCATCTTTGGATACATTTTTGCATTTCAAAGTCTCTGTTACTGACTGTTGATCCAACCTTTAAAATGTAGAGAAGACCCCAGACTGAAGACGTCAACTTCGGGATTTCTTTTTTTAATATTTATGATAAACTGCATGTTGTCCCAGGTTTTCTACAGCCCCATCTGTTCTTCCACTGTTAACAAGCAGGGCATATCTTTTAGGGGTTTTTTTTCTCCCACACTAATAAGATTAATTTAGGTTCTTATGTAAATCATACAAACTGCCAGGTTCCTTGTCATTTGCTGCATGTATTTTACCCACTGGTTGGGTCCACGTTTTCCTGCTGTTGTTTTTGTTGTTGAGAAAACCAAAGCGAAGCTGTCTGTGTTCAGGAGGTTAACAGCCAGGCCAGCTCATGGATGACTAAAAGCCTTGTACTCCTAGGATGTGGAATGTATATTTTTTTTCTTCTTAATCCTTTGACATAACTCACACCTGTGTTACTAAATGAAACTACTCATGGTACCCATGAGGTATTTTGTTGTTTGACTCCTTCATTTTAATCAGTAGAATCACCAGGTTGCTCTTCAGTTAACAGGAACCAGTCTGTAGCTACAGCAGTGCATTTAGAAGTTGAAGTTGGCAGAAATTGTTGATTAAATCTGCAAATGCTCCAAAAGTAATAGATGTGCCAAGGTATGCTAACAGTTCAGCTACCTTTTTTATGAACAGAATCTGTTGTGCAATATTTTAAATCAGTTTTCCGCCAAATGTCTTGAGCACCAGAATAAGATTTCTGATGGGCCGCTGCTGCTTACTGCAAACAGATTTTAGTTTTCACAGAAGTCCAAAGAGACGCTCTGGCTCTCAGAAGTGTACACACCCCTGATAAAATACCAGGTTTTTGTGAAGTTAAAAATATTCCCCTGGAATATAATTCTGTTAAAAATTCAAAAATACTTTATGGATCCCAAAGAAAAGTTAAATATTGTTGTGACTCGCATTAATTAGACAGCTTCACTGTTCAGTCTCCATTCCAGTCTGTAGAAATCAGGAGTCTGACTTGTATTGGAAGTCTGAAGTGTACAGACTGAAAAGTAGTGGTGAGAGTACAGAGCCCTGCGATGCTGCTGTGCAGCGGGCCGCCTGGTTAAACACACAGTCCTTCAGTCTGTTGTGAGGTAGTTATTGAGCAATGTGATTGTTCTGGCCTCCACCTGATGAATCGTTTTCATACATAAATGGGAATATATCCTGTGCAATTTAACTGTAGAAAAACATGTTTTAGGGTGGCATGAAGGAGGAGGATGCACATTCTTAAGCTACTTTGTTGAGTTATTTTCTGATTTAGTTTTACTAATCAGTTGTGTCTATAAGAGCCTATCAGCAATCCTACATACCAACTTGACAACAGTTGCCCACTCCAAATCTGTCCGATTCTCAGGGCAGCTCTTGAATTTTCTTCTGGAGAAGCTCTTCTCAAATTGGTTTGATCTTTGCTTGGACTGGCATTGATACTGAGAAATAAAATCTCTTTTCATATGAAGATTTTGGGCCAAGGTTCACTCGTACTTCACATTGTTTGAACTTTTCTTCCACAAACATGAAAACAACTCTGTGTGAACAATGGTAGCCAACCTTCTTGGAGCAGACATGAGGAGACCGTTGCTTGTACATGGAGATCACAACCATACCTGAAGGTCTTCAGTACTGCTGTCAGCCTCCCTGAGCAATTTTCACCTTCTCAATAATCCTGGGAGAAACGTCCATATTTCCTCTTGTCCCTTTTCTCCCATATTTTGCTTTTTGTCCCATATTTTCTCTAATTAGTATATTCACTGTGCCATGATATAAATATATTGAATTCCATGGATTTTTTTTTGTATTTTCCTCCTGGCTAATACCTTTGCAAAATGAAAACTTCTGATCTTTTGTAACCTCCCTATGCACTCTTGCTTAAGGGAACGTATGCATACATGTTCACTTTATTAAATTCCATTATAACTAGTGACAGATATGAACTCAACAAGACTAAATGCTGAAACTAAATCAAAAGGAACTTTAACCAAATGCTAATTTATTGAATTATGGCACCCCCACATTATGGGTGTGTGTGTGTGTGTATTGAAAACAAAAGGTTTGGTGTTTTTTTTTTTTGTCTATTTTTTTTTACATCCACCACTATGTTTTCTCTCCAGGGAGAGGAGAAAGGTTTGGAAATGATTAGTAATTTAATTTCTTTACATCACAAAAGTCTGGCATTTTACCTGGGGTGTGCACACTTTTGAGATTAACTGTATTCTTGCCTTTAGGGTTGATGGGTGAAACAGTCCTACATACTTATGAACAACAAGGAGAATGTGGCAGCTGAGATGTGTTGAGAAAAAATAAGTTGTATTAAAAACACACAATAAAATCCTGTTTTATAATGCAACCCTGTGTTGTGTGAAGCATTACAGCCAGGTATATTTACTCACAACTCTGATCATGTTCTGTTGATATACTTCAATTAAAAATCTAGGAACGTCCAATCATTAAGTGCATTTATTGTGTGGGGAGAAATGAATCCCATGTTAAGAAGAAAGTGTGAGTTTGTGGGAAGGAAGGGGGGAGGTTGTACAAAAAAAACATTGACAATTATGGTGTCCCTGCTAACTGTTAAAATTCATACCCAATGAGAACATGTGTTTATTTTAAGATTTAAAATAATTTTTAAAATTTATTTAAAATCTGGTATTTCTAATTATTCATAATGGCCTGTTCTGTTCCTTTATTCCTTGTGCATTTGGAAGGCAAACAAGCCCACAGCATCATGGATCCTCCACCTGCTTAAAATGTTAGGATTTTGCCTATATTTTCCAAGCCAAACCTGTATGGTTTCTGTTGCTAAAAAGCTCAATCTTAATCTCATTTGACTAAACCACAGTTTCAGTTAACGTTCCAAAAGAGTTGAGCAAACTTTACACGTTTGTGCGTGATTGTTGGATAGGAACAGGCTTTGTGTGGCGTCACCTCCAACCAAGAGATTTGAATGTAATTGGCGTTTAATGGTTGTTATGGCGACTTGGTAAGAAATTCTTCCATGCAGTAATGAGCGTTTGTTCTTCCTTACCCCTGCACATTATTCATAGTGGCAGATAAATATGAGCTCGTCCTACCTAGTGGCCAAGGAGATAATTTTGTCTGGTTTATAATTTTACCTCACGGAAGTAAAAAGTCCTGGATTACTTAGAAGTTCATTGAAAATCTAATGAAGTCTAAAGAGAAGAGCGTTCATAAAATGTGTATTTTGTTAAAAACAACATGGGATCGTTCTCCTCACAGAACAAATACAAGTAAATATTACATATTTCTTTTTGAATATTTCAAATAGCTATTTTACTTGGTTTAACTTTCGAACTCCACCCCTGGAAGCACTTCCACCAGTAACAGAATGTATTTTGAACTACAAATTAGAAACGGGTCCTTTTTCTGGGAGTCGCTCATGGTTAGGATTCTGGGGCGACCGATATGACACCTAAACACATTTCATTCAGCTAAAGCTATATTTTGTTGATTTTTAAAAAAATACATATTATATTAAAATATTGATATTAATTTTACTTTGGTCTTTAGTTTGTTAAGTTTTAAATTTTAATTTGTAGGCTTTTTTGATGTTGTTTTCCTTTTCTGTCAGGCATTAATATGGACGTCCTACTGTTTCCCTTTTTGCCCAAGTTTGAAACTGGCAGTTGGTTGTCTAAACAAAAAAGGCAAAGCTGACAAGTGTTTGCAAATATCATATCTAGCTTAAGCAACAACCGATATATGTGTGCATATCTGCTGTGTATGCATCTTCGCTGGACTGGCCGCTAAAGCTAATTAGCCATAATGTGTCTTCCTCCAGAAAAAGCTTCCGAGTTGAAGCAGATAATACACAACCATCTCCTCAGGGTAAGCTAACGGTATCAATCTTAATTTTTTGCTTTTAAGCAGTAACTTTATTCTGTACTTGCCCAGTTTCGACAGAGACGTTTATTTAATTCTCCAAATGACTCTTCTGTCGATTGCATACTTAATAATTAAATGTGCAAATACATCAAACTGATACCTATTTTTAAGAAAAAGATTAAATGATTAATCATATTTCTTCATCTGTCGTACTGTTGAATTTGGCTATATGAATTATTGATATGGCTTTATTTTAAAAAAATATATTTACGTTTTAATGACGATTTTAAAGTCCCCTAAAGATATTCAGAATTGATGTCACATCAATTTTAGCCAAAATCTTTAATTTTAGTTTATTTTCTTGACTTTTGATAAGTGCCCACAGATTCAGATCTGTGGAGTTTCTTTACAACAAATCTAAATTCACAATGTTCTGAAGATAGTTTGCCACTTTTGTCTTATGAAACAGTGTCCCACATATAATAACCAGATAACACACCGAATGCTGCTTACTCAGCTCTAATTTGTGCTTTCTTACAGAATTGTTGCTATACAGTTTGTTTCCTTATGTAATTCTGTAATGTCATTTTCTCAGTTTGAAACAGTGTAAATGTTAGCAGTTTTATTTTTTTCTGCCCGTCAGATGGACGTTCATGGACGAATCCGAGAAGTCCTGGCAGAGACTATAAAAGACGATGAAGGCTCGGTACATCGGCCTCTGTCTGAGGGAGACTTTGTACGCGCTCTCCAACGCAGGGGCATCATCGACGATGTGATGAGAGACCTCCACTTCACTCAGGTTTGCCACCATTTTGCAGGCTGTGTCAGACAGAGATTAACATTTAAAGATGTCTGTTTCACATTTCTAACGTGTTAAATGCCACAAATAAAGTACTATCTCTCACTTCTTTGTGATAGCAAAGTGCTCCAAATATTGATGCAGAATCTCCGTCCAAGCCTGCTGGTCATCATGTTGACCAAGATAGTATGCATCTTAAGAAAAGTAAGGGACGTTACTCATAATGCCTTATGGAAATAAATGGACTAAGTCCTCTGTCTAATTTGTTTTGATTCTCTCTAAGCTAATCTTGATCCATCAAGGCGATACCTCTATCTTCAAGTTCTTGGAGGTAAGGCCTTTCTGGAGCACCTCCAGGACTCGGAGCCTCTACCTGGTCAGGTGTGTCCCACGTTTACGCTCTACTTGCACTTCCGCAACCAGAGGTTCCGCTCCAAACCGGTTCCTTGTGCCTGTGAACCTGACTTGAAAGAGGGTTTCCTTCTAGAAATCCACAGAGACAGCTTTGGTAAGAATGCAATGCATGAGATATTAGAGCCATTTTGGATATATTAAAAGAAGAAAATTTCCATCAAAAAACTCATCATTTGCAAGAAAACAAACCTCACAAATTTTGAGATTAATTTCTGAAATTTCCAACCTTTTTCCAGAAGATTTCTCTTACCTAAGTCAAAAATTTGCTATGGTAAGCTAAAATTTCTAGAAACATTTCTAGAAAAGAGTTTCAGAAGTGGAAAAATTTTAAGTTTTGAAATTCAGATAAATCTCAACATTTCTTAAATTTCTTTGGCAGAAATTTACTCCGTC